ATTTATTTTCTCAGCCCTTTGTGAATTATATTGTCGTGTCGGAAGCCTTGTGAGAGGCAAAGGTACCGTAGAAGACGGAACGCGTTGCAAGGCAGACAAAAACACTTATGATGTGTGTATCCAAGGAAAATGCCGAGTAAGTGACTTAAAACAATATTGCAAAAAAATTACCTGTATCTATTTTTTCTGGTTTGAAGATATCTGTTCACAAATTTATCTGAGCGATTTATAGAAAGTTTGCGTAGCTACTATGGCTTACGAAAAAGTATTCTGATACCAACCTTACTTCGTCTTCAGAATTCTCAGAGAATATTACAATTTGCAACCCGCAAAACTGTTTTATCTTCATGGATTGCTAAGAATGGAGAACATTTTAAAAATCCTTAAACTCCCATGAGTGACCGAGACAGAATTTCTCCTTACAATATCAATACAATATCAAGCAGACAAGTGATGAGAATAAAAACAATTTTAACGAAGGGTAATTAGTGGATCCAGTACCAAATTCTCCAAACTAACATCGCAAGAACTATATGGCAGACAGTAAGGGGAATTAGTATTACGATCTTGGGAACTAAAGGGTTAAGTAGAATTGTAAATAAAGTTCTAAAAAAAAGCTAACAAACAAACAAACAAACTTCAGTTCCAATAAATAATTTTCAAATCAAACCATATTTCCCAGTCGATAGTTTTCCTCTCTTCTCGTTACCCTTTCTTTTTATCGAAAACCTTTTGGCATTTTGAGGAGAAAATCTTTGTGAGTCACTCCTGGAAGTGAATAATCTAAGATATGTTGAAAATTTGTAATATTTTTCACTCCGTCATGATTATGCATTTAAGGATGTCGGGTAATTATGGTTTTGAAATGTCACTTGAATAAATAGCCGGTTGGCTGTGATCACGTTCTGGACTCCAACGCAATGGTGGATCGCTGTGGCAAATGTGGCGGCGATGGGGACCAATGCTTCGTTATTTCTGGAAGTTATACGGCCTCTCATACTGTAAAAGGTACATTTCATAGCCCAGTAGGACAGTTCTTGTCGATAACGTCATAGTTATGCAAATAAAGGGACACTAAAGAGGAGTTAGGCGCCTTACTTTGCTGTGAAAATAGAGATGTGACTAATATTAGGTATGTGGCTTTGACGCCCGATTCACTTGCACGGATTCCGCTGCAAACATCTCGTTCAAATTTTTCGGTGTGTTTTATAGGTGGAGTGGTTACCTGGTTTTATTGGTGGCCTTTTTCAATTTTTTTAGATGAAATATTATGGATAAGACGGTTATTTGACTGTACTAGTTTGACAAGTGTTGTATGTCTGCTTCGGTAATCTATGATTTCACTCGAGTTTGTTTGATTCTCTGTTTCCTTGCTCTTTGTTTTACTATTATTCTCTTATGTCTCAGAGCTTTAACATTAACAAGGCAAAGTTAAGATTTTTATCGCCTCTTTACCATTTGCCGAGAGTACACAACAGTGCATAAGAAACTTCAGTAAAATTACGAATGACTGGCGAATAACACCTTTTTTCATTTCGTTGCTTTAATTTTAGGTCTTGAAAATGCAGATCTCGTTCAAAAACTTCTCATTGGTGCTTACGACGTTTCTTTCAAAATGAGGCAGCCATCACGTAATTACCTCGGTAAGAAATCGAGGGACTTAAAGTGAAACCAACAGTATAACTTAAAGAGGAAGTGCGCTTCAGGAACAATATCGGTTGTTGCTGTCATTAACAAAAAAACTGTACTTGAATTACGCAGTCAGTATGATAAATTCATGCCTGTATACTTTGTAAAAGCCGATGGAGCCTACTTATCCTCTAGGTTTGACCTGATGTGTGCTGAGCGTTAGAACCCATATCGATTGGGTGTTGTTAAAGTAATTACGACCAATCAGGACAAAGGTAGACATCATCAGGGGCTGGTGGAATCGAAAGTTGAATCAATCGAACTGCCTGAAGCACGAGAAAATCAGTGTAAGCAAGTCACGATTGGTATCGGAATTGCATATGTTTCGCTAAGATAGTGTTACGAGTTTTCTGACCAATCACAAAGCAGAGCAATCAAAACAGAATAACACACTTCTTCCCTGAATTTTAACGATTTATCATATCAGGAGTTGCGAAGTAACAATTTGTAACTAATCATCAGGCTGTGAATACTGGTGGTGAAAGTGCTCGATTGCATTTCAGGGGTTCAAGCGGACAATGGAACATATTTAGTGGGCAACGTAAGTAAAAACGTCCAGGAAGTTTCTGTTGCTAACACAGTTATCCAG